ATCTTGTCTTGATTTCTATTGTAATGCCTTCCCCATATAGTAAAGCGCTATAGAATAATAATAATGATACATGACTGTTGGCAAATTAAAAGCAACTGACAGAATAAAAGCTTATACCTGTCACATATGGGCTCCATAAGCAGAGGAGAAGTCTACTAAATTTGATTGGATGGTACAGCTTACCATCAAGTAAATGACTAATGTCTGTACACCTCTGACAATTAGTTAAGTGCAAACAGCAATAATGTGATCCAGTAACCAAAGGAATTCAATCAATATGGAGCTGTTAAAGTAAAGAAAGCAAATACAGCTTTTCATGGGAGAATTCTCTTTATGCATTTTTCTTTGTTCCTTAAATAAAGGCTCTACAGCTTGACATGATTGAATCCTAATTGCTGAGCTTCCCTGAATAATTTGGCAGTGGCTTACTATGGATCTGCAGAATGGACACTTTGGTGAGCAACCCCAGGCATTTCAGCCACTTCATTTAAAGCTATGGCCAGCCGATCGTTACAGTACCTCACTCTTACCTCTCCATTATGCACAGAACTCTGTGGACTTGCCAAACTTATTTTAAAATTGGAACTGGCATCACCTGACAGTTTTGCTGGACTCTGCAGTTTATTAATTAAGCAGATGTTTAAGTCCTCGCGATTACGAAGCTCTGTTCTTTAAATTATTTTCATTTCTGAACTGAAGACAACGTCACTAAGAATGCAAAATGCTAATTTTATTGGATGAGCATAACTTTTATCAGCAATGTAGAACCATACAACGTTTACAAAATCTATTGATGATGCTGATGTAAATTGGGCTGATTTTCTGTAAAAAAAATAGAATCACAAAAAAATGTGCGAATATCCACTTCAATTACCCAGCCATGTTAAAAAGATCCACACATGATTGGGTACTCGAAGTGAACAGGAATTTTCTTATTACACGATTAGAAAATTGATGTTAATATTCACACAATTAGTTAGGTGAAGATTCTCAATTTCTTTAGTAAAGCATCCATGCCTCTACAGCTGAAGTGTCAAGCTTAAATCCTACCATCTGCCAGAAGATATAAAAATCCCACCATACTATAGCAAGAGGTAGGTCCATCACCCTGAGTTTTTGTAATTCTCAAATAGCTGGAAATGCACAGGTTGCCTACACCTGCCATGGACAGCAAGCTCTTTTGGCTAGATCTTCAAAGCCTCTTCTATGTTTTAATACGTCTATACTTGACATTCTCCTTCTCTGCATATATTGGTTTATTATTGTTAAAGATAGGTCAATAGTAACCAACTAGGTCCGATAGGTCTGAGCATATGCTGATTTTTTACCATTTTCAGGTGTACATGGTTAAGTTTCAGAAGCTCATCAGAAAATAATTGTGGGTAGAAATATATTGACATACAGTCACTGTGGCAGCCCTTAGTCTTTCCTCAGCCTGTAATGGGTGAAAGTGCTGTAACACAGGGGTAGGCAACCTCGGTACCCCGGCTGTGATGAAACAGCAAATCTTATCATGTCTCTGCCTGTAGCAGTGATGACTGTGGCTGTCAGGGTCATGCAATGCTTCATGAGACTTACATTTCCACAGCAGCTGGACTACCAAGGTTGCCTACCCCTGTTGTAAAACAATGGCTAGCACTTGACTAAATTTCATACAATGGTAAGCATCCTAAAGTAAGGCTTCACAACGTTTGTATACATTAGGAAATCATACAGTTTGCTGCTCTTTGTATAAGGCATCTTCCATTTCAGGGGTTATGGTCATTCATGCACAATGTAGAGAGGTTAAAGGAACCTAGAAGCACAAAAACATGGGGTCAGCAATACTGAGATCTTTTTAGAAGGAACATGCTCCGGTACAGGCACCTTTATCCTTTCTTTTCTGCATCTAAGCATGCGCATAGCAGGTGTTGGGTCTTCTGATCTGTATAAACTTGCTCTAGGTCATTTTCTCACTCAGGGTTATTCACAAAAGGGTGAAGAGTTTGGAGAAGGCAGGGGAAGTGAACAATTTAAGACAACATAGCTGAACTGGAAAGTGAGCTGAATTGGAGAATTTTTCCAAATCACCTATGTTGTCCTAGATTGTTCACTTCTCCTGCCTTCTCCAAACTCTTCACCCTTTTGTGAAACCCTGACTAAGTACTAAAGCTAGGCTACGGATGGCAGCCTTGGAGCACCACTACAGGGAAGTCAATGAAGGCAGCTCCCATGGCTCTGTCCTGGCAGCTTACCTTCAAACTGCTGAGTTTTAAGTTCCCAACTAATCATTTTCTATGGCATTTAACATATTAGGAAGAATATTCTGTAAAATTACTGATCCAAATATTTGTTTGTAGTTATTATTGTTTCATTGTTTTTTTTTTATATCTACACAGTTTAAGTTACATATGAAACAGCACATGTATATTCACCTAGCCTATGGAGTACAAAGTTTTCACAAATTTGGTTTCACCTTCCTTGGAAACAATTCAGAACTTTTGTTAGAGTTGTGCTACCAAAGGTTTGAAACTCTAGTCTTGGTCCAAGAATATTTTAAGGTTCCCGGGCTGTCAGATCTGCAGTGCGTTTTGCTAGGAAGAAATCCATGCCATGGCATCCAATCAGAAGTCATCAGAAGTCAACTTTTTTTAACCTAATAAATGATGACTTCTGATTGGTTGTCATGAGAAAGTGCTCTTTGCACATTTTTGTTCGCTCAGCTGTGATAGGCTCAGAGCCATGGCACACTAAGCACTATTGGAATAAGTGGCAAAATAGCTTACAGCCTGCTAAGATCCTCTGAAGTTCAGCCAACTAAGTTTCTGAAGTACAGTACCTTCAATGTAACCAGTGGCGTCACAAGGGGGGTGCGGACCGCTCCCGGGTGACACCATTGGATGGGTGACACCAAAGGAGGGGACCCGGCGGCATAGCTCATCCCGCAGGGTGAACGTCCTCTCCTCTCTCTGCCGGCGTCCATCACCAAGATGGCCGCCGGCAGGCGTCAATTAGATAGACGCGCATGCTCGATGGCATCATGGCGGGGTTTCACGCGGTCGCCGCTAGTGGGTGACAACCGGCCTCGGGACACCCATGAATGTAACTCATCCATGAACAGTTCCTTAAGGGTCACCGTACATGTTACAATCTAACCATACAATCTTTGTACAATCAACTTTAGATTTACCAAATCTTGATTTATACAATTTGAGAGCTCACCTAATCTATCTAATCAATTTTCATCCAATCAGGCAGGCCCTTGCACTACATACTCATTGGTAAATCTAGAGGAGATTGTACAATTAAATTGTAACGTGTGCGGTGAGCTCAAGTCTCCATGTGTTATCCTGGGCTGCTGAAGCTGCAAACACTGTCTGTTCCAACTTCAAAGTCTCTTTCTCTGGAAGTTCATATATCCTGCCTACCAAAATCTACTACAGGGGTAGGCAAACTCAGCATGCCTGCTCTGATAAAACTACAAATGCCATCATGTCCCTGCCTCTTAGAGACATGCCTGTGCCTGGCAAAGTCTTGCAATGCCTCGTGGGACTTGTAGTTCCACAACAGCTGGAGTGCCGAGGTTGCCTACCCCAGATCTACTATGGATTAGTATATGTCATATATTTTTATTACTTTCAAAATGATAACATTGAGACACAGTTATCATTTATTGACAGAGTTAAAATAGTTCCAAATCAGCTACATACAAAGTGCAATTACCCAAAAACAGCAAATCAGGAATAATTTCTTACTAGACTGCTGACTGTTATCTGTTTAAACCTGCGTTCTCATTGGTTGCTACAGGTAATCACATATCATTGTACTTCATACTATTATCAAAGTCTATAGACTACAAAACAATAAATCCAAGCACACACAAATTGGAAAACAAAAACAAAAGCAAGTGGTTAAGGTTATCTATAAGAAATGTGTCCCTGTATGTCTGTTTAAACCGGGGTTATGATTGGTTGCTACAGGTAATCATATATCACTGTACCTCATACTGTTATCAAAGTCTATAGACTACAAAAAATACATCCAAGCAAACACAGATTGGAAAAACAAAACAAGTATTTAAGGTGATCTAGAAGAAATGTGTCCCCAGCTATAAAATATAAGAATATTAGGATTTGTAAAGGAGTTCAGTGACAGACAGTATTAATGAATGAGGTTGTAGACCAGGTCACAGTGCATCCTACTATCTACAACACATCATTGCATGGGGTAACATCTTTTAATATACAGCACTTAGGCATTAACAGATTCCATTTCCAAAAACCTCAAAAAATTTCCAACATCGGGTTAATCAAGGTGTGCAGTGTCCGAGGACAGTGTTTTAAATGGCAGCCATTTACCTGCAAAGTTCAGACATTATAAACAGTCTAGACCAGGGACCTGCAACCTTGGCACTCCAGCTGCTGTGGAACTACAGGTCCCATGAGACATTGGGAGACTGTGACAGTCACATGCATGACTCCTAGAAGCAGATGATGCTGGGATTTGTAGTTTCACCACAGCTGGAGTGTCCGGGTTGCTTATACCAGGTTTAAACAGTTTATACTCATCTAATGTCTAAACATTGCAGTTAAATGACTGCTATTTCAAGCACTGTCCTCCGACATCGCACACCTTGATTAACCTGATGTTGGAAAGTGTTTGAGGTTTTTGGAACTGGAATCTGTTAATGCCTAAGTGCTGTATAATAAAAGATAAGTATACTAATGTATAAAAAGTTTAATCAAGAAGAGATATGATCCAATTGATCAGTGACCACAATCACATATCAACAATATGAACAAGCAATGGAAAGAACCCTACCGATACAATTATTCTTATCCTTATGATTAATATTATAATACAGGATTTATATAGCGCTAACAGCATGCGCAGCCAAACTGTTGGCGCTATTTAAAGCGTCAAAGCTTATGGCTTACTCGGTAGCTTGATGTGTTAAGTCATCGCACGCACGCCACCGTACAAAGTTTCCTGAACAAAAGTTGACATGCAGCAGCACTTACCACTCACGACACGTGTGTCTGAACTGCCATGCCCCCAGAGGTTGGCACCGAGCAGCACCAGGAATGCATTAGAGTACAGAAATGGGTACATGATGATTACAGTCTCCAGAATACTACTAATACAATAATAACTTATATCTCACAGGAACAAAAAAAAATAAAAAGGAAAGAGTCAGTTTAGCAATCCCTGTGTTCCTGAATCGTAGTTCTGTGAGAAGTGATGGTGTGATGTGTCATGTCTCTGTGTTGCTCCTCTCAGTTGCTGTAGTAAGTCATGATGAGCACAGCCTGCTCTCTCTTAATGAGCAATGTCTCGGAGTGCCTCAAGTATTGTGCTGTAACCAGCTCCATCCCATTGCTATTGATTTCTGTCCGTTTCATTCTGTGGCAGCCAATCCCAAGGCTTCTGGTTTATGTAACAGACCAGTAACAGGTCACTGCAAACTCCAGAATTGGCAAGGAAGATGCACGTTGTCAGAACTCAGAAGAGGATTATTTTTCCTTCTCTTTGCAGGGCTGGAATTATTACTGTGTTACAATAAAAAAGAAAAAATCACATTATACGATAAAGCATTTTTCTTTACAGTGTATCTAAACCAGGAAACAAAACTAAAATATTGTATCTTACCAGTCCTTAGATGTGAAGGCGGCATTCGTTTTCATTGATCAGGCTGTTCTTCCTTTATTTTCACCAGGTGATTCTGCCAGTAACACACTTAAAGTGACATTAAAGTCAAATTTTGTTTCCCTCCCCCCAATGTTAATGTCAGCGCTTACCTTAAATGATGTATCTTAATCCGATCTTCCTCTTCTTTCCTGCCCTTTTCATCTGTCCCTCCAGCACTGCTGCAGGTCTCCGATCCAGTGCGGACTCCTCTGTCCTTGCTGGCACTTCCTGTCCCACGGTGTCTGCATGCGGGTGCATGCTGTCCATAGACTTACCTTGCATCTCTCCTCATCTCCCGGCCGAAAATCCGAACTGCGCATGCCCCCGCCCCAAGATGCTTTGCAGCCGCTCGAGCAGTTTCGGATTTTCGGGCGGGAGCGCGTGGCGAAGACGTGGTAAGTTTAAACCAATGTTAAAGCGTTTTTGTTTTTTTTAAAACTATTTGCACATATCTACTATTTTATATTTACTATTAACAGAAATGTATCTTATTTGTATATCACTCGGCTGTAGATCCTCAAATCATCTCTGAAGTGGTGCTGACACTGTCCTTCCTTCTGGAGGGTGGCTACTTTTGTTCCCCAAGGAAACATGGGATGCTTTGGATGCAACCTAGGATGCTTTGGCCAGAAAGGGGGCGGCTGGCAAAGTGGCAGGGCAGTGTGCCTGTTGCCACCCACGTCACCCAAAGCCTTGTGCTTTGTGGATTGCGCCTTAGGTGGATAGTGGTAATAAAAGTCCACAAAATATACTTCAAAAGCATATGTGACTCCAGAGAGACTATGCACTTCATAGAGAAGGAGGTAATTTAGTTCATAGCAATACTTTGGACATCACAAAGGCAGGATGTGTGGGTAAATCTGCCCAGTGGGGACACAGATGGCTGTAGAAACCATACACAGCATCTAACCTTTCCCTAATTTATTTAAAACTATAAAAGAAATGTTGAATCAAGTTCCATTTTAATTGGCATTTGATGAAACATTACATGATCAATCACAATAAGGAATTGAAGAGAAATCCCATGACTAATTTTGTTCCTTGTTTCCAGCTGCTGCATACTAGAGGTTAATATTTGGTTACATATAAGCTTTAGAAGTCTAAATGTGATCACAATGATATGCAATTAAGAATGTTTTCATAGAATATATGCTGTAATTTGTAAAACTCAAACAAATTATGTCAACATTTTACTGTTGTTCCAAGTTTTAGAGTGATAACAGCATTTCTGCGATCCTCTCCTTTTATTGCATCCAATTTAGTCCTCAGGGGTCATTAAAGTCAAGATTTGTAGGCAACACCCAAACTTTCCCTATGGATGTGTGCAGGTGTCAGCGGCCTGATGGCCAGTCTGTGGTATGGATCTGATAAAACTCTGGCAGAATCCTACTTTTTAGGAGATACATTTGGATAACGTTAGGTTTTAGTAAATCTCAAGTCTGTGTACAGTAAAAGTGTCAGTTTTGCCTTCATTTTCGACAATATCTGTAGATTGTTATGCACATTAGCTAGTGTACATGCAGAGTGGGTTCATTTTATGTAAGAAATTAGTTTGCATTATAAAAAAAAAATCAATAATACAATGTGAATGATTATTTTGCAGAATCTGTAAATGTGTCAGTTTACTATGACCCCATAAAATGAAGAATTAAAGCTGAATTCTAGGGAATCAGCTAAATACACAGATGAAATACATACAGTATATGAGAGCTGTTTCACCTCTGAGATTTACACAGCCTTGCAATGCTGCAATAGCTTTATGACAGGGGAGGAGACCAGATTTTTCTTTGTGGCAGTTATGTTACACTTACATGTCTTTTCCCTCCCTTAGCCAGTGATTGGACAGTGAAAAGAAAAAAAATAGCACACCAATGATCTTTTCTCTCTGTCACTCTGCTTTTTCCTACTGTTGGCATGCCACTTGTTAATACATGAGCACTGCATCAAAGCTGATCGACTTGTTCTGCTTTTCCCTTTTCCTAATCTGATCTTTGTCATACAGGATATTGCTAGATGTCAAATGTAAGTACTTACACTGTGTAGTTAAAAAATATCTTTAATGATGTAATATTCAAATAAGTTGTGTCTTTTATATCTGCCTGAAGTTCATATTTTATGAACAGTAAAAAGTGTGCATGTACCAGAATGGACAAGGTTGAGGAGTGCAGAGGGTGTGATATTAGCAGTATGTGCAGGAGAGGAGTGCAGAGGGTGTGATATAAGCAGTATGTGCAGGAGAGGAGTGCAGAGGGTGTGATATTAGCAGTATGTGCAGGAGAGGAGTGCAGAGGGTGTGATATAAGCAGTATGTGCAGGAGAGGAGTGCAGAGGGTGTGATATTAGCAGTATGTGCAGGAGAGGAGTGCAGAGGGTGTGATAGGCAGTAGGTGCAGGAGAGGAGTATGGAGGGTATGACATGGGGAAGTATATACACCAGAGTAGTATGAAGGGCATGAGGGCAGGCAGTATGTGCAGGAGAGGAGAGAGGAGGGCTTGACATGAGGCAGTATGTTCAGGAGAGGAGTGTGGAGGGTATGACAGGGGCAGTATGGACATGAGATTTGTATGGAGGGTATGACATGGGGCAGTATATACCCGAGAGTAGTATGAAGGGTATGACAGCAGGCAGTAGGTACAAGAGAGGAGGGTTTGACATGAGGCAGTATGTACAGCAGAGGAGTGTGGGGGGTGTGACAGGGGGCAGTATGTACAAGACAGGAGTGTGAAGGCTATGACAGCAGGCAGTAGGTGCAGGGGAGGAGTATGAAGGATATGACAGCAGGCAGTATAAACATGAGAGGAGTATGGAGGGTATGACATGGGGCAGTAAATACCGCAAAGGAGTATGAAGGGTATAACAGCAGGTAGTAGGTACAGGAGAGGAGGGAGGAGGGTTTGGGATGAGGCAGTATGTACATGAGGGGAGTGTGGAGGGTATGACAGGGGGCAGTATTTACAAGAGAGGAGTATGGAAGGTCCGACATAGGGCAGTATATACAAGAGAGGAGTGTGAGGTGTATGACAGCAGGTACAGGGGAGGAGTGTTGGGGGTATGACGTGGGGCAGTATATACCAGGGACGTGCGGTCAGGGGAGGCAGGTGAGGCAGAGACTCACCTAGAATTATGGAGGAAAATGCTGTCAGCTTCATGTCTGAAGCTGACAGCTTTTTTTCCATTCAGATCAGCATCTAACTGGTTACACAGCAGGGAAATCCTCCCCTCTGTGTACCCTGCCATGGACTGAGCGCCTCAGCAGTGAGGAGCACACTCACTGCACTTTACACTAGCTTGGGGACGGGTTGGGGCGGGGCTTCGTCCAGCGGGGACGGGGCTTTGTACATCAGGGGCTTCGTCCGGCAGGGGGAGGGCTTCGGTAGGCTGGGGGGGGGGCAAAGGACGTGGGGGGGGGGCGTG